TAGTTTTTCAGAAGTCAGATAAAATTCAATTAGTTATTATTTGCAATATTTAATCGTTATTTATCATTAGTTCATTCAAAGCTCACATAAAAACAATTGTACAGTTTTATAACAATGTAGGTAGTCCTTCGAGCGATAGTTTATGCACTCCATTTATGCAATATTCAAAATTTCATTAAATTTTTTCAGTAGGAATTTTAATAAGTATATTATATATATTAATATTATATGAAAATAATTAATTTTCAAAATATTATAGCTTAAGTGATTTATTCTAAGATAACTTCATAATAAAAATTATTACATCTTATTGTAAATCAAATTCCTCTATTCACAATTTTAAATATTCAAAAGAAATCTCTTATAACGTATAATATTATAAATGCTGCTTAAAAATATCAGAGATGGAAATAGATACTCTTAATAAAGAATCCTTCTTGTTCCTTTGCCACGATATTTTTTCTAACAGTAAATAGTGCTAAATAAATTTATAAGTGAATTTATAAGTGAAAAGTGAAATAATAACAATAAATTTAACTCCTAACTTATGATTTTCAAATACTAATATATATATATATATATCCAATTTGTATACAGTTGAAAAAAATATTTTAATAATAATTAATTAAATATCTCAATAATGATAAAAAATAATTATATCTTTTTTTCATCTACATATCGCATGCTTTCATGACCACGGTCTTACCAGTCGGGCATCCTAGCTATTAACGTTTTCATTATTTCGCTATCAATATGGATTCTACAATTTCCAACATATGTTTTTCTGATTTAGGATATCCGAACTTGTCTGTTTAACTGATCCTAGTTTTTCTATAAGATTCAGATCGGATGATTAGGATGGTCATTTCATTATTTTCATATCAGAAAATTTTTCATTCTCTTATTGTATATAATATTGTATATAATAATTTTTACATATTTTAGAAATGTGTTTCGGATTGTTGTCTTATATAAATGTAAAGTTATTGCCAATTATTCGCTGTCCGGATGGAATTGCATTTTCTCTTAGAATGTTTAAATATTCTTCTTTTTTTAAAATTCCATTTATTTTCATTAAATCTCCCATCATATTGTTTTCAAATCATCTCCATATCATCACGAAATGACCTCCATGTTTAACTGTGGACATTACACAATTGTCATTTAATTTTTCGGAAATTCGATGAACAAAAACATGCCACTTGAATCCAAATACTTCAAACTTGGATTCATCAGTCTATAATACTTTTTTTTATTTTGTTTCTTTAGCAATGGTTTTTTAACCGCAACACTCTGAGACCGCCTTCGTAAGACGCCTTTTTACTGTTGAAACTGAAATTACTGTGTTCCTGGATGGGACACATCCATTAATTTCTGCAGCTATTTCGGAAGCTGTCTCCCTCTTATTTCTTTTGCTTATAGTTATAATGACGATGATAATATGACGATCTTCTGTCTCAATCGTTTTTCCAGGTATTCCAGATCTTTTCACAGAAGAACAAATTCCGTATTTTTTAATATTGTAGCTCACACAGGATTTTAAAACTTCTACTTTTTCTGCAATTTTTTTTACAGAATACCTTTCTTTCCATAAAGAAATGATTTGTGAACGCATTTCTACACTTAATTTGTTTCTTTTCGTGCTTATCGTGCTCTCATAAGTATTTGAACCGAATTGATCTCGATAGAGTACCAGAGTGATGGCTACATTCTTATTTAAGTGATAATCACTTGGTATAATGTTTCTAAATGTTCATATTATTTTTGAGAATGCAGTAGACTTCACTCAAATGATGCAATCATCGTCAACAGAATGAGAAAAACCTTACAAACTGTCTGCACTCAGCACAATATACGCAGTTTTTCTTACTGGATAGATTTTTATTTATTTAAGAGAATTGAATAACTAAATTGTCAATTTAATACTATTAGAATACATTACATACATACTCGTAATAGAATTTAGCAATATATATATACATATAAATAATATATATAGAAATATATATATATATATTTTTTATTAGTATATATATATATAGTATATATATATTAATATAAATATATACTAATAAAAATATGTATATTTACACTATGTATATATAAAAATATGTATATATACAAATACGAATTCAAAATAGAAAATTGTATATATACATATAAATACTTAATAAATATTACCAAATATATATACATATTTCACAAATTATGTTCATATAACAAACCATTTTTCTATTATCAATATCTTATATATAATAATAAATAATATATCAAAATTTTTAGATTCACAAAATTTAAATCCAAGATTCTTTTATTCTGAATTTTAAATTTTAAGATTCAGAATAGTTATCTTTATTTATTTATTAAGAAACATCTAAAAATATATATATATATATATTGCAAAAATAAAAGTTTTAAAAAATTTCGTTTTATGGATTTGAATCAACAATCATAAAAATCGATTCTCTCTCTCTCTCTCTCTCTCATATTTGTTTTATATTTGTTTATTAATAATAATTTAAACATATTGTATGAAAAATTGTAAAGAATAGAAGCAGATTCTAGTAAACTAAAAAACTTACTTTAAATTTTTATTCAACAAGGGCATACAATTATATTAAAAATACATTTTATAATATCCTATGCCCATTATCCTCAAAATAATTTTTTTCTAATTTTTTTTTTTATTATTTTTTTAAATTAAAATAATTTTTTAAATTAAATTAATTTAATAAAATAATTACAAAATAAATATTTTTAATATCTTAATTAGAATTCAATTTTTTCGAAATTATAATTTTCTAGAAATATATTATAATAAACATTATATACAATTATAAAAAAATAAAAATTGACAGATAAAATAAAATATATATTTCAGATAATTGTTCAATACTTAAATTATATTTTGTAAATATTTATAATATCATATATTATTTTGAAAGTATTTCGATTATTTTATGATGTCACAAGATGATTTTATCTTTGAATCAAGATAATTATCTGAAGTTATATCTATATACATATGTATGGTTTAAGGTTAAACAGCCATGTAATATCATATAATTCACAAGATGGTGGATCTTTTTTGTGAAGTAAGAAAGTGATATTTATGTGCATTTTATTCTAAAATTTCTTTCTGAAATTATTATTTGATCAGTGTTGAAATCAATATGTCATAACTTATAAAAACTAAATTAGCAATTTCATTGCTCATATTATTTATGAACTCAAATATACAATATTTACTACGAGTGAAAAATATTTTTATTTCTTTTTCCAGTTATAAAAAAAATTAAATATTACATAATATATTAAATTAATATTTAACATAATATATTATATAAATTAAAATTTAAACATACACTCATAAAAACTGTTTAAAAAAATAAACAATAATGCACTCCACTAAAAACAATTAAAACATATAAAACTATGAACAATATTACGTTTATATACTATTACTTGAAAATGAAAGTAAAAAAAAAAGAAAAAATTTATTTTTAAATAAAAAGTGAGCATTTTGTGAAAAATTAAATATTTTTAATAAAATATTCCTCAACTTATATTCTAATATATATATTTATGTAGGATAGTTAATATTTATTAACTATTTTATAATAAAGTATAAATATTATTAATTATTGTACATAAATATTTGATTAGATATGAGCTAACAATATATATTTTATGAAACTCTTTATAAAATTTTATTAATTTAATTTATATAATTAATCTAATTTATTATTTCTTAACAATAATTAATTTTTTAATTTTGGAGAAAAA